AGATCTCTGGGGGAGCTGCTCACCTTCTTGCACTCATACAGTGGGCCACTGGCGACCATCCCCACCCTCCGGGATGGGCCGGGTGCCGAGGGCCAGGGGAGGAGAGGGGTGGAGAGGGAGGGGTTGGTGGGTGCCTGCAGGGTCCCAGACCCTGTTGTGTTCTGCTGGTAGCAAACATCTTGCTGCGCATCCAGTATTTGATCCAATTTCCAAGAATCGGTTGCGTCCAATTAACAAAATTAAGTACAGAAATACCAGCAAGTGTTCTCCACAGCCAAAGCAAAAGCAATCAACACTGACTGACAGACGATTCAATATCACAACTCCAGGGACACACAGGGCACAGGATGCTCTGGTGTCCGCAGAGAAGGGGGTTGAGCGCGCGCTGGGTTGTCACGCCTCCAAGGCAGGGGGCCAGGGGGATTCTGGGACTTGGGGCGAAGTGGAATGGGCGCCAACATGATAAGCATGGCCACGCCTGGGACTGAGGTCACGGGGATCTTATGCAGACGTACAGGAAACGTCGTCAAGGCGTCTGTCCAACCGTTGGGTAACGAGGCGAAGGCGACCTATAAGACAGTCCAGCATCCCCAAGGGGAACCGTGGGTGCGGGCCTGGCAGGAAGCCCTGAAGGAATTCCCCAAACGCAAAGCTGATTCCTCCACGGGCAGGGGACGTCACTGGTCCCTCCCGGAGGCCAGGTTCATCTGCACGTCCGTGGACAGGAGCCGTCTCCAGACGCCCAGTCAGGCACACGGCGTGGTTTCTAAAGGGAAGAGAGGTCACCAGGCCAGGGCGTGGCCGGCCACGATCCACAGGCCGAACCCGCCCGCCTGCCCTTGCGGACAGCCGTTGGGGCCCACACATGCCCTGTGCCCCGCATGCTCCACAGTGGTGCGGGCAAGCTGCTGCATGGGGCCGCGGAGCCACACCAGCCACTCTGGCCCCTTGCAGAGACCTGGGTTCAAGCCGCTAAACTCTGGAGTAATTCGGTGCAGCCCTGGCACCTGGCACAGCCCACTGCGCACTTGGGCTGAGGCTGGGCGTGCAGGCCGAAGCCACAACCCTCACCACCCCACTCCTGAAAGCGGCAGCGAGGCTGGCGGTTTCCGTTAACGAACCATCTCCTCCCCTGCAGAGGCGAGCAAATGGGGTGCAGGGGCACAGTGCAGCGGGAAAGCGCTTCCGGGGGACGGGGGGATGTCACTGAGCTCCTCTTGCTGACTGACCTCTCAGGAGTATGCCTGCTGACATCGAATTGTCTGCAGCTAATCTGCTAAACGCCAGGCAGAGGTGTGAGCGCTTATCACCAAGACAGACACGCCTCATCTCATCAGCCCGGCTGCATGACCTAGGTGACCGTGACCTCATTGCCCCCCAGTCCCATTCACCTCCTGGAGGGGACAGGGCATGGGAGACCAAGGGAGGGAGGGAGAGGCTCCCTTGAGAGGCTTGGCCAGGCGTGTGCGGTGAGCACCGAACGGAAGGACGCTCCTGCGCACAGTAGGTGCTCAGTCTACACCGGCCTCAGCGATGGCCCAAGACCTTTGAATTTTGCTCAGACTCTGGGCCCACAGGCATTGGAGCCTCCACGCCGGGAGGAGGGCAGTGAGCCGGGAGCTGCTCACGGGCACAGGAAGGGTCCCTGTGTCCCTGGCCCCCTGAACAAGAGGGCCAGCTCCCCGTGAACCTCCTCGCGGGGCAGGAAATGCCACACCCCTGAGTTTCTGCAAACAGATACACATTATTTTCAGCTCCGGTTCTGGATACAACAGGAGTGAGGTCTCCGTCGGTCAGGGTCCCCCTCTCCCCTGGGTTGGGTGGTGTCAGGGAGGGATGTATGGGCCGGGAAGAGAGAAGTAGCATTTGACACTCAGGGTGGCTACACGGTGATGGGGGCAGACAAGCTGAGTGCACAGGGAGGCCACTGCTGCCCCAAGTGGAGGGAAGAAGGGAAGGGCCGGGCCATCCGTGGGCACCAACCCTGGAGTCAGGGTCACACACACTGTGGCACTTGGGACCCCCGAGTGCCCCCCTTCACTACCTGTCCTCCCCCACACCCTGAAAGTTCCATCACCCACCTATGCCATCCCAGGACCATACAGGAGGCTGCTGGTCCTCCCTTACCCAGGAGGCTCTTGCCTGCCCCTGCTGCCCCCAGGGCCTGGACATCAGTTCTGGACGCTCCATCCAAGGCAGCCTCCACTGACATTTTCTACCCCGGAGGAATCCCTCGCCCTGCTCTGATGACCTATGAGCTCCCATTATGGGGGCTTTGTCCCACTTACTGCTTGGTGTGGGAGCAGCTGCAGGGATGCCCTTTTTCAGGGGTTTCCCAACTTCATATACACCCATTTTCCCGAGACCCCCCCATCTGACCCCCACGGCCAGTCCAGGGTCCCCAAGACCCCCCCGTCTGACCCCCCCAGTCAGTCCGGGGTCCCGAGACCACCCCCACGTCTGAACCCCATGGCCAGTCCGGGGTCCCCGAGACCCCCCATGTCTGACACCCATGGCCAGTCTGGGGTCCCTGAGACCCCCAGATGTCTGACCCCCACAGCCAATCCACGGTCTCCGAGACCCCCCACGTGACCCCCATGATCAGTCTGGTGTCCCCGAGACCCCCCGACTTCTGACTCCCACAGCCAGTCGGGGGTCCCTGAGAACCCCCATGTCTGACCGTGGGGCTGCCGTAGAAGGCGGGCTGGGAGCCATGAATGGTATGAAGAGTCCTCCACGCAGACGCTCTCCCCCAGCAGTGTCGCAGACTCTCCCCAGGATGTGCAGACCTCCTAGGACAGTGACTGCCTGGCAGGGGAGGGTCTACAAGTGCAGACCCCAGGCCCCACCCCAGCACTTTCACTCAGATCCCAGAGGGTTCAGGAGCCCCTGACCGTCTAGCTCTAATATCCCCTGGACCAGAAGCCCCGACGTTGGTCAGGTGCTCAGGCCCCCAGCCCAGAAGCCTCAGAGGCTGTCCTGGCCACCCCAGCGGGGCTGCCCTGTCTCCTCCATCCATCCCTGCCCCCACCCCATGTCCACTCAGGCAACCACCCAAAGGGCAACCAGGACAGGAGGTGGAGAAACACCAGCCCGGGGACCTGGTAGCTCAGTGGGTTGAACGTCCAACTCAGTTTCAGCCCAGGTCATGATCTCGGGGTACTGGGATCCAGCCCCCCATTGGGCTCTAAGCTCAGCAGGGAGTCTGCTGTTCTTCTGCCTCTGCCCCCCCCCCACCCCACCACGCTTGCTCACTCACTCAACAAAATCTTTGGAAAAAAAATAAAGTAAAATAAAAAAGAAACACCAACCCAATACCAACGTAACAAAATGCAGCTGCCCAGCCCTGAGGGTCAGGCGGTGTAGTGGACTGAAGTGTCCAGGGCGTGGGAGTCCCCGAATCTGCCAGAATGAGAAAATCTACACAGAACACACGATGCTGAATTTGGAAAAAAAATAAAAACCTGCTTAAGCCTTTTATAATTTAACTTGAAAAAAATCAATGGAATTTCTTAATCGGTGCGGTCTCAGTCCATCCACGCTGCCCCCTGGTGTCCCCGCACCGAGGCTCAGGCAGGGCACTGACGACCTCTGGTAGCAGGCCACTCAGGAGCCTCGAGACCATCCCCCACAAATGTGCATGAGCCCCTCCTCCGAGCCAGGCAAGTCCTGGGCCAGGAGACAAGGCCGGTCAATAACGAGCCTCCCTCGGTCCCCGTGAAGGCGGGCAGGGACAGTCTGTGGACTGCTGCAGGGCAGCCGGGCCACGAAGATAAGTGGGTGCCAGGTGGGACACACAAAACGCTGTTACACACAGGATGCTTGGCAGAGGCCTCCGCAAGGCCTCACTCAGCCTGGGGTCTGAAGACCAGGGGAAAACTGTGGCAACAGCAGTGCAAAGGCCCTGGGGCAGGAACCAGCTTGGGAGGGAGCCAGGGCAGTCCAGCTGGGGGGTGGGGCGCTAGTGTCCCTGACTCACACGACCCTGTACAGAGAAGAGGCGCCCCTTCACCCCTTGGGCAAAGCCCCCACCAGGCACACCAGGGTCTTGGGCCACCAGAGCAGCTTCCAGAGACCAAACCAGCCAAACGACTGCCCTCTGTGACCCCAGGGCGCTCCTGCAGGGTGGGGGTGTGCCGGGAATTCAGGAGGCTGCAGGGCAAGGGGGGGTTCTCTCCCTCGCGGGCTCTCCACCCCCACTTGTGCCTCTGCCAGCCCCCCCAGCCCACGTGAGCTGCCGTCACACACATGACTCCTCTGTCCCCAGACAAGCAGATTTTTTAAGAGGAAACCCAGACTCAAGGAGCAGGCTCGCCTGGCAGAAACGGGGCCTCGAAGGAACAAACATCCTGGCACAAAATAAGCCACTGGCCCATGGCTGCCGGTGCCCACTCTGCTCAGGGACAGGATGGAAGGGTGAAGCGGCCTCCAGCTAACTCCCTCTGACAGGGCACACACGCTCTGGCACCCCAGGGGTCAGGGGATAAAGGTGTCCTCCTCTGGATCTGACCAGGAATGGGCGTGTGCACTCCCTGTGCACCCCAAGACTAACCAGGACAGAGCCCTCACTGTCGCTCCTGGGTCACAAGAGTCCAACTGCACTGGAAAGGTGTGGGGCGTGGCCCAGACCCTCCCTGGATACAAGGGTCCTGGGGAGTCTGGGGTGCCCGGGGAAGCTTGCAGGGCTGGCAGAAGCCACACCAGTGCACTTGGAGCCCCATGGCAGGAGCCACTTCTGCAGCCCCCCTCCCCACCAGGCTTCAGCGGAGGGAGAGACCCCTGGACACCACGTTCCAGCGGTGGGGGGAGGGGGGCGGTGCTGCAGGTGGACACAGGGTGGCCAGCACTGTGGACGTCTGCCTGTGGACCCAGCCACCACAGGAGCCAGTAGACGGGTTCAGTGCTTCCCCAGACCCCTGCGTAGCCACCCACGGCCCACCCCAATGGCTCCCCCACGAAACCACTTATGGGGGCCAAGGGGGGGAGGGGAGGCCACAGGGTCAGCTGAGCGTGAAGTGCTGGGCGCAGAGGTCGTCCTGCCGGCCCAACAGACCCTGCGCGGGGATGAACTCTAGTGGTACCGACTCCTGGCCCTTCTTCTTCAGGTCCCGCTCGAAGACCTGCAAGGGACGGACAGATGGACGCTCCCACACTGCGTGGTCCCCGCACCCCGGCCACCCAGGCTCCAGCATCCCCCCCTCACCTCAAATGCTGTGAGATCCAGCAGCGGCGCGATGCTGACCTCAGGCACGGACAGCGCCTGGTTGATGACGCTGGCGGCCTGGGACACCTCGGGGTGGTAATGCCGCTGGAGGGCCTGCAGAGCATGTGTGACATCACCACCACCCCCACCCCGGGCAGCCAGGAGACCCGCGGGCGGCACACACCCAGGTGGGCCAGGAGGTGGGTGATGCACCCGACGTGCTCACCTGCAGCTCCCACAGCGAACTCTCCAGAGCTCGGCTCTTGGCGGGGTCCTCCTCTTCGGGGTCATAGGGGTCGGCATCCAGCTCTAGGAACGAGACCCAGGCCCTGCTCCACGACCGGCCCCCGGTGTACCGGCTACTGGGGGAGGGCAGGCCCCCCAGGTCCCCCAGCCGCACTCACCAGGGCCCAGAGGGCGGTGCACGAGGACGCGGCAGGCAGGGTGCCGGCGCAGCAGATTGCAGATGAAGGGCAGGACCATGAGCAGGGCCTCGGGGGGCGCCGTCAGGGCTAGGCGGGACAAGCGCTTGGCGAAGGCCGCCACCAGGTAGGCGGGCAGGTGGCTGGGCGGGGCGGTAGGTGAGTGAGAGCCCTCACCCAGCACCCCGGTCCCCGCTCTGGGTCTCAGCCCCGCCTCTGGCACTCACGAGGATGACAGGAAGAGATCGGCCAAGTGGAAAAACCGGGCCCGATACTTGACGTGAAAAACGGATGGGTCCAGGAGACCGTAGAGCTTCCGGTAGAAATCGGGGTACTCGCTAGGGGAGGGGGAGTGTAACTGAGCAGCAGGCACGGGGGTGGAGCAATGAAGAGACAGGTGATGGCTTCCAGGGGCTCCGTCCCCTCCCCAGCCCTTCTCCAGCCCAACCCCCACCCCACCACCCTGGGCACAGCCCAGCCGGCTCCCTGGCCTGAAGACGCCTCTGGGATGAGTACTCACAGGTTGTGCTGGTGAATCAGGACAAAAAGTCCATTCAAGGCCAAGAGACTGATGGCTCCCCCTGCAGACACATGTGTGGCTGTGAAGCCCCAGCCCACCCCACCCCTCCAGCCCGGGGGGCGAGTCCAACAAAGCTGCAGGCCACCAGGCTGGGAGGGAAAGCAGACTCCTGAGGATGGCCCACCAGCCACACGGCTGCAGGAGCCCAGCCCGTGAGCACGCACAGGCCCGCCCGGGAGCTCAGCACTCACCCACGTCGTAGGCACGGGTCAGGAAGTCGATCATGAGGCTGGGCTGGGCCAGGTGCGGCAGGATGGAGTCGTGCATGACCACCAGCACCTTCTTGTAGAGGCTGAGAGGCAGCTGCCGGGAAGCCGCAGGTGTGGGTGCACCTGCCCCACTCCAAAAACCCCATGACCCATATGGACCCAGACAGGGGGCGCCTGCTCCCCACCCGCCCCACCCCGCCCCTACCTTGTGCCTGAGAAAACCGAGCCACATCAGCTGGAACGCCTTCCTGTGCTCCTACAGCGGATGCGGTGTCACAGTTGCACACAGACACCACCCCATCCCCCTGCCCCCAGGAGGGGACACCAGACACACGGCCTTCCCGCTGCCCTGTGGGAGGAGGAGCTCAAAACCCCAAACCCGAGAACTCTGTACTAGACAAGAGAAAACGCCCCGCGTGGATCCCAGCTGTACGGGAGCAGAGGAACATCGCGTCTGTGACCGCCCACAGTAACAAGGGCCTGCTGAGAGCCTGGGAACCGGGTACCTGTGTGCCTCCCCCACCCCGCTCCCGGTCCCTATGAGGGGTCCCTGTGTGGTACCCCGCGCCTGCCTAAGCCAAGTAAGGGGCAGCTAGTTCTCTTCCCGTCGCACACACATGCCTCCTTCTGAAAGGACCCCCCTCCCAGGGAGGCCACCAACCCCTCCGGAGCAACTAACCTTCAGATGAACAACCTTCCACGTGCTCGACAGCTCTGCAAAGAAGGTAGGGATCAGCGGGCATGCGGGAGAGGAGGCAGCCCACCGGGTGCCCCTGCCCAACCACCTGCCCAGGACGCTCACCCACGTGCTTCACGTAGAAGGTGGAGAAACTACACTCCTGGCGGGGGAGGCTCACAGCCGACAACAGCGTGAAGGTGTTGTTCCAGAAAGTGAGCGGCACCTGCAGAAAGCCTAACCTGAGCACAGGCATGACCACCACCCACCCATCCCCAGCCATGGGACCCAGCCAGCTCACCTCTGGGTACCTGTCAGCGACACGGCCCACGACGTCCGTGGCTGCCCGCATCGTGTGGTAGCGGATGTCGTCGTGTTCCAAGTACTCCTGGAACCGGGACAGGAGCAGCGAGCAGTCGTCCTCTGGAGAGAGCAGGCCTTCCACCACCGCCTGGGTGCCGAGCAGGGAGGTGGGCCTTAGTGCGTCAGCCCCACGACCAGGGACCGCCCGCGGAGACCACGAAGCTGGCAGCCTCACCCCTCCTGCAGGGGAGGGTATGGCAAACGCACGGCACTCACTAGCCACCTGCGCCAGGGCCCATCCCAGCTCTGGCCGGAGGCTTCTGTCCCCCCACCCCCATGCACCCCACCTTGAAGAGCTGCCGAGGAAACAGGTAGTAGCCGTCCCACTTAGGTTTCTCCAGGGGGTAAGCTCCTTCCAGCTGCACAAACTTCATGAGCGTGCTGAGAGCCAGCTCCTGGGGACAGCGGGTAGCAGAGTGGCCGAGGCGACCGACCACAGGCCACGCCCACTGCAGGCATGGCCACAGAGCTCCCCCAGCACACAAACCCAAGTTCGCTCCACATGGCATTCCCACAAGTACCGGCACACAAACAAAACCAGCCACCAGAATGCCAACCAGACGAGAGAACACGGCCTCTGGTGGGCCCAGGAACACAGACGCGGGCAGCCTTGGCCCCACCTCCGTGCGTGTGGACAGCCTGTGGCTGGGGGTGCAAGGAACGCCGGAGGCAGTCTGCGTGACTCACCTTGACCTCAAAGGAGGGGTGAGCCAGAAGCTCCTGCAGGCGGTTGCAGCAGCTGCGGTATCGATGTCTCATCCACACCTTGTATTTGCGCGTAGCCCCCTGGGACCCTACGGGGAGCAAGGGGGTCAGCCCACACATGCCCGATACTCTCCACCCAGCCCCACCAGGGAAATGGGTGCAAACAGTCACCGTGGCCCCAGATCTGGGGTGGGAAGAAAGAACCTCCTACCCTGAGGGCACAGTCCCTCACCCCTCACTTTACCCCAAAACCTAAACGACCGGGGGGTGGGGACGCATGACCCCAGCTTCGTGGGATGCTGACCGTACAGATCAGACAGCGTCAGACCTCACGAGCAGACCCCGTAGTAACCGGGCTGCAGGGCTGCCTCTGCCCCCAGCCCCCGCCCGTCCCCAGCACCATCCTCCTCCGCCCCGACCGTGGGCTCTGTGCCCGTCCACTGACCCGCGGGCCCTGCGGTGCGGCTTAGGGGCCAAGTCTCCCCCCGCCTTCCCAGAGCCGGGGGCCCGCAGCCAGAGGACAGGCCGGCGCCCCGGGGACGCTCACCTGCCATGACCGAGTCCTCGGACGGCAGCCGGCCCACAAACAGCTCTCCCCGCTCCAGCAGGGCCCCGAAAAGGCGGCTGCACGCGCGCACCGCCTCCTGGGTCTCCTCGTGGTCCTCGGACTGAGGGAACAGGCTGCTCGCGGGGCGCCCCCCACGCCCCACTGCTGCCTCACGCCCGGCCCCGTCACCCGCCCACCCGAGCCTCCGGCCTGCGCGCCCCGCGAAGGCCCCCTCCCCGGCTCCCGACCCCGGGACCCCGGCCACCGCGACCCGCGCGCCCCCACCTGCAGCACCGCCAGGATGTCGAACACGGCGTTGGCCTCGCCGCGGCTCGCCAGCACCGCCTCCAGCAGGCGGCCCAGCGCCCGGCGCGCGCCCTCGGGGCCGGGGTCCCGCTCCATACCGCCGCCGCCGCCCCACGCCACAGACACCGGGACTCACGCGCCGCCGCCCGGCTCCGTGACGTCACCTCCCCGCGCCGGGGTCTCCTGCACGCGGCGGCCGCCGCCCGGCCCCCCGCTGTGACGTCACCTCCCCGCGCCCGGGGACTCCAGCCCGCCGCCGCCGCCCGGCCCCCGACGTCACCGCCCTGCGCCTCTGCGGTCATCGCGGCGCGTCTGACCGGGAGGCGTGCGACTGGCCGGCATGGCGCTCTTCCACGTCGCGCGGTACGCGGGCCCCGAGGCGGCCGGGGCGGAGGCCGAGGCGGACGGCCGGGCGCGCGCGCTGCTGGAGCGGCTGCAGTGCCGTGCCCGAGAGCGGCAGCAGCAAAAGCAGCCGCAACAGCAGGAGGCCGCGCGGACGTCGGAGGCGGCGGGGCGGCGGCGGCGGCGGCCGCGCAGACCGCGGAGGCGCGAGGGCGGCGGGGCGCCGGGGAGCCCGCACAGGCCGCGGGGGAAGCGGCGGAAAGCGGACGGCGAGGACGAGAACGCAGGTGGGGCCGGGCGGGGGCGCGGCCGTGGGACCCGGGTCCGCGGGGGGCTGACGCGCCGCCCTGGCCCGCTTCTGCCGCGCAGGGAGCAGCGAAGAGGCGCCCGGAGAGAGCGGCGCGGACGCCGAGGGCGCGGGGCCGCCGGAGGACCCAGGCGGACGGCCCCCCGGAGAGGCGTCGGGGACTCCAGCCCAGGCCCTGCTGCTCGGGGGCTTTAGGAGAAGCAGAGCGCCAAAGGTGAGCGAGCGGCCCGCGGCGGGAAGGGAGCCTTCGACGACTTGGCTTCAGCCGGGAACTGCGTGCGGTGGTCGTCGCCGGTCCTGCCGCTGCTCGCGGGGTAGCTCGGAGGGCCCCGCCTGCGCCTGGGGGCGTGCTCAGTGTTCAGTGAGGGAACGTCTCCGACCTCGGCTGCGTGGCTTGTCAGTTTCTTTTTGGGCGTTCGAGTCCCGTGCAAGTTCAGTGTTTTTGCTTTGGTCATAAAAAAAGAAAGGTTTTTTTGTGAGTATAGTAAGTAGGTTTGTCGTCACAGTTGGGTCTTAAAACTAGTCTCACTTATTTGGTGGGTGTGTTTAAGAAGTTTCTGTTCTGTGCTCACCTATTTGGTTAAAAGAAAAAAATGGAGTTTCTAGTGGGCTTTTAAGTTAGTCTTCTTTTTGTTTTGGTGGAGGTTTTCAGTGAGTCAGTACCGAGCTGCCAGGAAGGAGATGGTGGGCTTGCCAGGGTGCGTAGGGGCCCCTTCGTGTCTGTGCCCGTGTGGAGGTCCACATTGAGTTGGGATCAGCCCGGGTAAGATGGACCGGGGAGGTGAGCATCTGGCAGAAGGCGGATTTAGCGCAAAGGCCCTGAGGCAGCAGTGAGCTTCTCTGTAGGAACAGAGGCTTATTTGGCTAGGGTACAGCCAGTGGTAGGAAATGAGGTTGGGGGCAGGTGAGTGCCAGGTCATGGATGGCTTTGCAGGCGCATCTTGGGTGTGGATGTTATCCTAGGTGTGGGAGGAAGCCCCCCAGGGTGGTTCTGCTCAGGGGAGTGGCACTTTCTGGTGTGTAATTCCTTTAAAGGTTGTGTGGACGGGGCGGGGGGGGGGGGACGGGAGAAGCTGGGAAATAGGGTTGTCGGCCTGCCTTGCTGTGGTCTCTTCAGCTTGAGTACCTGAGTCCTTTGTTTCTGCGGGTCTTGCTCCCCTAGCCCCACGGACCCCAGAGTATTCACTGGGTCTCTCTCTCTTTATGGTAGGTCCAGCCTTTCCTGCCATCATGGTTGGCTGAGCCAAGCTGTGTTGGAAAGAGTGTCACTGAAGATTTGGTGCCTATCGAGGACATCCCTGAAGTCCACCCTGACATGCAGAAGAAACTGCGGGCTCATGGCATATCGTCCTACTTCCCAGGTGCGGGGGCGGGGGGGGAGGGGGGCGCACGCTTTCAAGAGCCTCCTCACTGAGAGCCTTACAAGGCCACAGTGTAGCAGCTGTGAACACAGGCCCCTAGGCACGTCCAGCATCAAGTGCCATCTGGGTTTTTGGCATCTTTGGCCACCTGGGCCTGGCGCTGGCTCCGGTGCTGTCATTGAGCAAGAACAGCCTAGTCTAGAAGTCAGAGGTGAAGGGTGAGGCTACTTTTGACTTCAGTGCCTGTGCTGATTCTGGGTGTTCCCGCACAAACGTGACCTGCGTCTCATCCTTCTTTGTCCAGTCCAGGCAGCAGTGATTCCTGCCCTCCTGGAGAGCACAGCCGACGGGTTTCTGGTGGCCAGAGGTGGCTACCGGCCCAGTGACCTTTGTGTCTCTGCCCCAACGGGCAGTGGGAAGACTTTGGCCTTTGTCATTCCGGTGGTACAGGTGAGTATAAGGACCCCCGCCCTCCGAGTGGGCTCTGCAGGCAGGGAGCCGGCTCTGCTGACACAGGTGGTTGTCATGTCTCCCCCCACCAGGCCCTGCTACGTCGAGCTGTTTGCCGGGTCCGTGCTTTGGTTGTGCTGCCCACCAAGGAGCTGGCCCAGCAGGTACGTGCACCCCACGTCCCCAGGTCAGACCTAGGATCTGTATCGCTGTGGTGCTTTGTACCAGGTTGGTGACGGCCACTCCTTTTCTAGGTGAGCAAAGTGTTCAACATCTACACAGATGCCACTCCTCTGCGTGTCGCCCTGATCACTGGGCAAAAGTCACTGATCAAGGAGCAGGAGAGTCTCGTCCAGAAGACGTAGGTCCTGCAGGGCTGGGGGCTCCTTAGGGAACAGGGAGCGGCTATCTGAACCCTGTCTGCAGGTTCCCTGTGGTATTGGGGGGTGTCAGCGTGGGGCCCTTTGCTGAGCCACTCCACTCCTCAGAGCAGACGGCTTCCGCTGCTTGGCTGACGTGGTGGTGGCCACTCCTGGCCGCCTGGTGGACCACATCGACCAGACACCAGGATTCAGCCTCCAGCACCTCCGCTTCCTGGTAAGTCCCACTCCTGGAGGAAGGCTGGGGTTTAGAGCCAAAGCAGACCTCCGCCACCAGACACCAGGCTTTTTGCTTCCCCCAGGTCATCGATGAGGCTGACCGCATGATAGACAGCATGCACCAGTCCTGGCTGCCCCGGGTGGTGGAGGCGGCCTTCCCGAGTGATGGTGCTAAGGACCCCTTTGCTCTGCTGCAGAGGAGGCAACCCCGGGCCACCACTGCCGCCAGGTACCTGACACTGAGCCCTGCCCTGCACTCGGTGTGGCCGCCTGCGGACAGCCCCGTCGTGCTTCCCCTCTGTCTCCGAGACTGCCTCAGCCCCAGTCTGGTCCGGTTTGTTCTGGGGCGGCCAGTCTCCAGGAGGGTGCCTAGGGCTCTGTAGGTTGGCTGGCTAGGCCAAGACTGTTGTCCCATCACCTGCTTCCCTTTCAGTATTTCTTGTCCTCAGATGCCGCTGCAGAAGCTGCTCTTCTCGGCCACCTTGACGCAGAATCCTGAGAAGCTGCAGCAGCTGGGCCTCTACCAGCCCCGGCTCTTCTCCACGGGGCTGATGTACAGGGGCCCCAGAGACACTGATGAGGACGGGGACTCCGGCGGGAAGTACACCTTCCCCGCAGGGCTCTCGGTGAGTGGGGCGTGCAGGGGTGGGGAGGGGGTGCCTCAGACGCTTGGGGCCTGGCCAACCCTGTGCTGTCCCCACAGCACCACTATGTGCCCTGCAGCCTCCGCACTAAGCCACTGGCCATCCTGCATCTGATCCTGGAGAAGAATTTCTCCAGGGTCCTCTGCTTCACCAACTCCCGCGAGAACTCGCACAGGTGAGCCCCAAGTGGGCGGAGGGGGAGGAGAGGGGAACAGAGTGGGGGCAGGCTCCAGGCGCTGCCCACCCAGCTCCTTCTGGCTCTTCCCACCCAGGCTCTTCCTGCTCGTCCAGGCTTTTGGAGGTGTGACCGTGGCTGAATTCTCCTCCCGCTGCGGGCCTGGCCAGAGGAAGGCGGTCTTGAAGCAGTTTGAGCAGGGCAAGATTCAGCTGTGAGTACCTGGAAAGAGGGAAGGGAATGCTCCCGCCAGGTACCAGCCTGGGCCCTCTGAAGGGTGTTTTCCTATGGGAGACTCACGTCCTCAGTGTGGTGGCTTCCCCAGCAGGGCCGGGCGGGGGCGGAGAGGGGCTCCTGGCCTCAGGCAGGGCCCACAGCCCCTGGTGTTCCCCAGCCTCATCAGCACAGACGCCACCGCTAGAGGCATTGACGTGCAGGGTGTGCAGCTGGTCGTCAACTATGATGCCCCTCAATACCTGCGTACCTACGTGCATCGGTGAGGCTGTCCCGTGCTTTTGGAGGGAGGGTCCCTGGAGGGAAACCCCTGTCCCATCGGGCCCCTGGGGGCCACTGTCCTGGAGGTAGTTGTGTTTGGTTTCAGGGTCGGAAGAACCGCCCGCGCTGGAAAAACTGGACAGGCCTTCACGCTGCTCCTCCAAGTGCAGGTCTGTCTGCTGGAGTCTAACCCAGGGGCCGGGGGCCTCTGCTGGCAGCACTGATCGCGGAAAACAGGGTCCCTTCCCACTTGTTTCCCTGCAGGAGAGGAGGTTCCTCCGCATGCTAGCTGAAGCTGGGGTGCCAGAGATGGCACGGCACAACATCCCCAGCGAGCTCCTGCAGCCGCTGGTCCCGCGGTACGAGGCAGCCTTGTCCCAGCTGGAGCGAGCTGTCAAGGTGAGAGGCCGAGGCATTCTGGTGATCCACGTCTGGTGTCTGGGAAGACTGGACAATGTGTGCAGGAAGGGGAGAGGGTGGGAGGGCGGGAAGGGGGTGCATGGCCCTGGGAGGGGGCAAGGGCCAGATCTGCACTTTCTGAGCGAGTGCTGGGTGCTGCTGCTTGCGGGGAGGTGGCAGATGGTGCCACGTGAGCCTCTGGCCTCCCCTCTGCAGGAAGAGCGAAGGCAGAAGGCGCCCTGACGGGCTCGGGGGACAGGCAGGCTGAGCCCACCGCAGAGCAGACCCTTCCCAGCCCATGCCTCCTGCTGGGCAGAGCCATCTCCTTTCCAGAAAAGTCCTGAGCAGTGGCTGATGGATATGTGAGCAAAAGACCTGTTTCCTTGGATTTCGGAAGGAACAGCCAGTGGAAAGGGCCTCCTCCTGCCAGGCCCTGGACACGGTCGCTGCAGCAGGCCTGGTGCTGGGCAAGCTCGGGCCCGGGAAAAACCACTGAGGTTACGGCAAACCTGATGGGGCAGCGTCTGGGGTGTAGCCTTGGGCCCGTTAATAGGACCCTGGGTGTCCTCAGGACATCTGCCACCTGCCATCCTGCACATCGTGAGCCATTCCCGGCACGGTCACAGTGCGAAGTGTCTCCACCCACACGGTGTGGGCACAGCCCCGACCACGCAGCAGGGGGGCTCTCCACACAGGGACGAGGCCAACCTCACTGCCCGCCAGGATGTGCGTCGTGAGTGTAACGGAAAACAGGCTTCAGGAGCGCTGACCCGCTGTTTGTGTAAAGATTTTGTTTTCAGAATCATGTGCTGATATTAAACTAAAAAACCAGGATCAGGCTGTGGTTTTTTGTCCCTCCTGAAAGTGTGCTCTTCGCTGCGTCAGGGTAACACTGGGGAACCCGGCCGCGTGGTTGCTCATGGGGCCGCGGGAGGGTACAGGAAACGTCACGCTAAACGGGTACAAGCTTCTCAGGGACGGAAAGCAACTTCCACGCGAAACCAGCTTACTTCTCCATACACGGGGGCCACACACGGCCCACCTGGCTGGAGCCAGGAACACAAAGCTGGAGAAGCCCCAGGACAGGCAGGGACAGGGCGGGGTGGCCTGGGAGCCGCAAGGACCCGCTTCCCACCCCCCTCGCTGGGGCCTTGCTGGCCGCTGGAGCCTGGCTGGGCTCGACGTCTGTGGGGGCACCTCCACCACAGAGACACCAAACTGCCTGTGCCAGGGACGTCCCCCCAACTCCTGGGAAACAGGCCAGGCTGACCCGGGAGGGCCTGTCTCCCACCGGCACTATCTCCCTCTCTTTACGCAGCGAGGCGTGTGCTTTCTACTAGTTTCTTGTGTTACTCGTTGCGTTGGCTCACACGTAATGACTGGAGTCGGTGTTCGTCACAGGGAGACGTGGGTACGGCACGCTCAGAAACGGACACCAGACGTGGATGTGCGTGCACGGGCAGCTCATACGCCTGCTCCCACGTCCGGACTGTGACAGGTTTCCAGGCGGACGGCTGATCTTCACTACCCGTGTTGTTTCGTTTTATTTATTTATTTGGCCTCCTGAGTCTGTTGTGTTTATTGCAATTGTACCTACATCTTTTCTTGGTCTGCAGGGAAATAATGATCCTGCTGAACGCGAATCCTTCGTATACTTGATCATCATTAATATACTTTTTCTTTTCTCCTTTGTTCTATATTTTAACATTTAAGGAATTTTTTAAATGTCTATTTAAAATTCAATTAACATACAGCGTATTGTTAGTTTTCAGATGTAGAGGTCAGCGATTCATCAGGTGCATAGAACACCCAGTGCTCATTCCATCACGCGCCCTCCTTCGTGCCCGTCCCCCAGTGACCCCAGCCCCCCACCCACCTCCCCTCCAGAAACCCTCAGCTTCCTAGAGTTAAGAGTCTCTTATGGTTTGTCTCCCTTCTGATTTTGTCATATTTTTCCTTCCCATCCTCTATGTTCATCTGTTTTGTTTCTTAAATTCTGCATATCAGTGAGATCATATGATTGTCTTTCTCTGACTTATTTCACTCAGCATAATACCCTCTAGTTCCATCTGTATCCTTGCAAATGGCAAGATTTCATTTTTTGATGGCTCCATAATATTCCATTGTGTATATATATACCACATCTTCTTTATCCATTCACCTGTCGACGGACATCTGGGCTCTTTCCACAGTTTGGCTATTGTGGACATTGCTGCTATCAACACTGGGGTGCACGTACCCCTTTGGAAACCTACATTTGTATCTTTGGGTACGTTTCATTGTTGTAAATAACCTACTCGCCAGGTGACAAAGTCATGTTCCTTCCTCCTCAAACAGGCAATCCTCAAGTGCAGTCTTAGCAGTATTTACGGATAACGGACACAAACACATTCGTGCTTTCCAAGCTGAGGACCAAAGACATCAGTTCACTGGTCCAGCACGGTGTTCTAGAGCGTCACCTGTCCAGCATCTTCCCCAAGGCCTGACGGCAGAAAGGTGCTGTTTTGACACATCCACGTTGCTCGGTCACCTGCTTCTCGTTAGGTTTGGATCTCTGTAAATCATGATGTTCGTCGTCATTAACCTGGGACCTATTATGCTTCAGGTGATAAGAGAATGAGATCTGTGCTCTCAGAACAAGCGTGGATTCATAGGTCCGTCGTGGCGTCCCACGGGCTCACGGACACTGAGCGTTCTCAACCGTCACTGGACTTCAACGCGGTGCCCATGTAAGTGCCACTTCTCCCTGTGCCCACACTCACTCAGTGGCCCGGATGAACCAGCGTTCTCCCACAGAGGGGCGTCTTTGCGAACCCCTCCCAGACCAGAAAATACCGACCAGCGGATATCCTCGATTTTCGTGACGCCACATCTTGCCATCAAATGTTCCTGCAGGAAACGGGGTAAACGCACCTGTGACAACTGAAGTTTAGGTTTCTCAGATGTGTGGATGCTGACCCAGCGGACCCCGGTGCCAGTGAGCGAGGCAGAAACAGGGAGGAAAACCTGTCCTCTATTCTTTCGGCTACGGCCAGGTATTTAGTGATGGGGGAAGGTGGATCGATACTAGCGGACTTTGGGGAAATCAGTGCACAGCGTGAGCGACCTGCTGACCACAGGCAGTGTGAAGTCTCCTCGAGACCTCAGGGAGAGCGACGCCCTTGGTGCAGCCGAATCACAAGTTTGTGGCAGGAGTCCTAGTCCTCGTGGCTGCTTCCACCAGGAAGCCCAAGAGGGCCTGGAGACCTGCAGCGTGAGCGAGTTGTGCAGGCCCCTGGGTCAGGCAGCCACTGCTGGCTGTGTCTCCACGTCCGTGTCTCCGCGTCACGTGGCCCTCTGGCGAGCCCACACTTCCCGTCCCTGGAGCCTCCTGTTGTGAAAGGCCAACAATCCACACGAGGTCTGCATTTGCGGGGGCTGCTTGTGACCCCGCTGTCGGGCCCTGCGCCCGCGCCCCCAGGGAGGCTACGCTGCGGCCGCGGTCGGAGGGGCTCCCCGACCCTTCAGAGCAGGGCTCCATTTCTGCCCCGAGCTCACGCTGTCCGTCTGCGTTGTGAGCAAACAGCCCGCGAGAAACACGTCAAACTGAAGATAAGAGTAAAAACCTCCCCGGCGCCCATCCGTCCGAAGCCTGCAAACTTGCAGGTGCTAAAAGCACAAGGTCGAGCGTGTCATTTTCTGGAACGTCCTCGGTCACTGTGATTTGTCACTCCCGACGCCATGGAAGCACACAGGGCCCCGTGTTACACATTCCTTCCATGCTCTCTCTCATCTGTGAAGGTCGCCATCCCGGGCAGTGGTCCTCACCTGGGCTCGAATAAACGCTCGTCCTTGTTTTTAAGACACCCTGAAAGGTTTGCTCATTTTGCATTGACACGGTGGTCCAGGAAACGTGTGACCGTTCTCAGGAGGCACTCGGGGGCTCCGGACGAGGACCTCCTCTGAGTGCAAACTCGGAATGCTCACGGGACTCGAAAACCAAGTGTGTGCACACATGTCTGGAGCAGGTCTCCCAAAACACCCCTCATCCTGTGGGCCCCACGGTCCCTACAGCAAACACTCATGGAAGTGGAAACACTCAGAAATCTCCTGCACCTCTTCCAACATTGAGTCTCTTGATAATTTTCTTTGTGTTTAAACAGATCTGTTACTCATGTAAAGGATATTTTTATTTACTTTCTTACTTGTACCTTCCTTAACCACAAACGTGTAAGTCTCCTTCTGTTAAACATCTCCTCAAATTTGTTTCTTCGATTAAATTTTAAAATCCTTCAATAAAGCAGGTCAAATCTTGGGACGACAAACACTGCTCTGCTAAAGCCCGTAGGACAGAAGCACATCCAGCCTTCCAGCCGCAGGCCGCACTTCCATGAAATAACGGTACGACGAATTCCAAGGTCACCTCATAACCCAGACCGGCCCTCAGCTTCAAACCAGGATGGTGCGCCCGAGTCCATCTTCACAATGCTTCCCCTGGGCCGCTTCTCCCAGGAAGCCACGAAACCAGCCTCTTCATAATTTCACGCGTTCTTCAGACCAGTTTACCTTCGCTTGCCCACCAAAATGTCAGTGAGTAGTTACCGGATACACCCCTGAAGGGTTAACTAAGAATTAAAGACAAATTACATGCCCAACTTTCAGAGTCCTCTGCACTGGAGGAACCTCCTGAGGCATTTTTAATTTCTGCTTAAGGTTACAAATTCTTAGGGCAGATGCCAGCCAATCTTCGGGTAACTGTGATAAAAGGCTCTTGAAAAACAACAAAACCTAGCAAGTGGGGGAGTGCTCACAGGCCGTGCTCCAAACCACCCGGCCGCAGACCTCACAGGCTGCTTGGGGCTAACCGCGCGCCGCACGGGGCTGCTCACACTTCTCCGGTTGCTGCTGTTGAACCAGACTTCCTCGCGAGGCGGGAAGACCCACCCTGTGCGCGCAGCCCTCGGGGAGAGAGGGTGCCACCCAGCGTCCGCCTGCCCACAGTCCTTGGTCCCCGGCCCTCGGGCGCCCCACACGGCCCACACCCCCCCCCCACGCGCCGGGAGGAAGACGGACAGTCAGAAGCACGAGACTCCGCGCACAGCCGGCCCAAGGCTCGCGGTCCTTCTAAAGCGCACACGGAATCGTCGCTAACACTCCGTCCCAAGCCATAGAAGAAAAAAAATTTTTTTAATTGAAATCTGTTTTGATCATAACGAATAGATATCTGGAACACCCCCCCCCGGTATTTGAAAGTGTTAAATAAA